GGTGGATCCTACAGACCTTTTCGATATGTTTGTGTGTGTAACTTTGTGGTTTCTGTTGTCGTGTTATGATTCTGTTTACCACCAGGTGCTCAGAGGTTAAATTCCAACTAAACCTGTTTGTCTACAGGTTATTTTTTTATTATTAAAAACAGGTGATGAAGATCATCACTAATGATGGACGACGTTTCATGGTGATGTCTTCTCAGACAGGCCTCAGCTGCGCCTCTGATTGGATGTATTTTGAGTAAACAGACAGAAGCCACAGCAGGAGTCACACACTGCAGGTGATCAGCCTCCTGCAGCGGCTTCATGTCAGGATGAACTTTGTCTGACTCCACAGATGTGAGTCCTGACCGCACTGAGAATGTCTCCGTAGACCGATGAGCCTACGGAAGCTCTGCGGTCCACCCGAACCGGGTCACCAGCACAAAGTCACAGCAGCAACGTTTCGTGATTCAGCCACACTGCGTCCATTATCGGACAGATACACGGCTCTCCTCGGACACTTCCACCATCCTGACGCTTGACAGACGCGCTGGGGTGTCAGGGTGCTGCTGGTGAGGGAAGGAGGTCAGATGATGATGATGAGAAGACACCAAAACACAACCAGGCGCAGAACGTTAGTCCGCAAAGGAGTGTCTGTCCGATAATGGATCTAGAGGCTTTGCGCCCTCACCAGGTAGGCAGTGACACGACGCAGGTGAGCTCAGCCGACGGCCCAGAAACACACAGCAGCTCACAGGAACCAGCCGCCGCCGCCAACCTGCTTAGATAAGCGTGAAGACAACGTCAGCCGAAACGTATTTAAATATTACGCAATTCTACGTTGTCTCGCTTGACATTGACACGCAAACGTCAGGAACAACGTCCAGCACCGTTTCAGAACACAGCTGTAGCCGGCCTTGAGTTCGGCGTCAGATGGATCAGCGGAGCGGCTCGAACAACAACACAACTTGACACTGCTGAATGAATGTGCGTCATTCCGTCTGCAGAGCAACATACCGCACAAAAGCGGCGCAAACAGCGCAAAGGACCCAAAAAAGTGCAACTGTTGTCAAAACGTGCCTTGTTTGCCGGATTTTACCAAAGCCGAATTAAATATTGGGTCCTGTCCCGTCAGAACCAGTGACCTGTGCTACTTTATCCCGACTACACATCCGTCCATAGCGCTGCCACACTAAATCCTCACCTTCATCAATGCGCTTCGGCACAACGTTCCCTCCGCTAGCAAACGAAACAACGGGGACATCCGTGACTCACCTGCAGCTCGGCCCGCTCCACCTCCCACTGCGCCCGCTCCACCTCGAACCGGGCCCACTCATGCTGGAGAAAGTGCAGAATCCCCGGGATGCTGTACTGAGCCCGGGCCGCCTCTCCGCCGCCGCCGTCGCCTGGCTGCGCGGCTTTAGCGCCGCCAGCTCCGGCCGAGCCCGAGTTGTTGTTGTTGAAGAAGACGCCGGGGCCCGCCTGCTCGTCCATGGCCGGACCCGGGCGGTGTGGCTCTGGTTCGGGCCGGTGCCGCCGACCGCGTCAGTAGAATATCCTCAGCGGGGAAACAGAATCCATGGACGGTGTTCCGAGCGCACAGCTCCGGCCTGAAGCCGCTGTCAGGTGATGGAGGCTCCGTCAAGCTGCACGGACACACCGCGGACAGCTTCCGGGTTTTCAAAGTAAAACCACCGTTTCGCTCTAAACAACAACAACCATTAATAAAGATAACAGTGAGGACAATGATGATAATAATAAAGCAAGAAGCAGAGACAGAGGTCCAGAACCTGTGTGGCTGCCGACACCCACCACCCTGTAGCTTAGCAACAATGAACAGTGAGTGCACGTTGCTGTGCAGCAGCGATCACAGCCACCAACTTCCACATACATAAATGAAACTGTTAGACATCCTAACCTAGACACATGCCTCAAGTGCAAAAAATAAAGTTTTCCAACCATGAAACATAACCGAAAATACTTCTATTTAGATGAATGTAAACAACTGCTGATGCATCACAAACCTGAGTCATTGCATTTGAATTGTTAATCAGAAAGTTCATCACATTTAGGCTCCTACAAGCAGCAATAATAATAATAACAATAAGAATAAGACTTTTAGAACTCAAATATGACGAAACAAAGCACACACAAACCCGCACACGACCCAAATGAATTTAACCGGTTCTGTTCAGTGTTTGATGTTGTTCAGCCCTTTAGTTCTTTCTTTTTTATGTCACACATGCTTTATTTGTGAGACAGTTCGTTCCAAACAATCCGGCCTTAAGGGATCAATTTCTCCCGACTTAAGACTTTTATTTTGAAGACATAACGGATATCGTGAAAGAGCTTGACTCACCTGTGCGATGACATCATCCCGCCCCCGAGTGGCCCCGCCCATTGCCCCACATCCTCTCACGTGATTGGCTGCCGGCGGATGACTGGCGACAGCAGCATCGTCCCAGTTCAGGAGGTGGAGGTGAGCCAGCGGATGGAGAATTACAAACGTCTGGTTTTATTATAAATAAAACATTATTATTTAATGTGTTTCTGATCATTCACTAGAGAAAATAAAAAATGTTTTTCACTGTAATTTTATTGTTATTTTATACATTTCAGTTTTGTTAAGTTATTGATAATAACTGGTAAAACTGCAGGAAAAAAGTATGAAGTTACACATTAATAAAATACATTTTTAAAAAACAGGCATCAAAAATGTGTATCAGTACAAGTGGATGTTCCTTTTTTTAAAGGGTAAATGACTTATTTGAACTGTATGTAAAACAACAAAGTATCTGCAGTTATTTGAAAAACTAATCATGTACATACATTGAAAAATGGCAACACAACATGTAGAAGAAAGAAGGCCCAGGTACATCTAATCCAATGTCCTTCTACAAAAAAGACTTAGTTCTTCTACAAGGTGGGACTGTGAAATCACAGCTTAACCATATTTATG